TTTACTAAAATATGAGGTAAAAAATTAATATATTTGGCTTATTGGCTTTTTTTGTATAGCTTATTGGTCTTTTTAATTTTTTTAGTGATTTGTTTACTTTTAAACTAAAATTCAATGTTGCCAAGCATGGCCTAACTTTTAAGAATTTCATTTTCCTCTTGCATTTTTTCTCTTATCTCTATCTTTTCTCTTTTATTCCTCTACGACTTTCTTATTTTTTCTACGAATGCATTATTTTGTATTTATATTTTTCAGAGGTACTTATGTATAGGTCCTAATAAGTAGATTTATTGTCTAGTAGGTCCTATGATAATTAATGACATTTTTCATCAAACACTATTAAAAAAATGTCACTAATCGTTTAATTTTCAATGATAGTTTGAAAATTGTCACAAAAAATGTAACCAATTATAAGTTTTAGCGACAGTTTAAAAAAATTATCACAAAAAAGCGTTACTAATTTTTAACTTTTAGCGACAGTTTGAAAAATTCGTTACTGAAAAACGTCACTAGTTGTAAGTTTTAGCGATAATTTATACAAAATGTGTTAAAAAAAGTCACTAATTGTCAATTTTTAGGGACATGCAAAAAAATCGTCACAAAAAATTATTTTTAGTGACAATTTTACTATGACTTATTTTCAATAGGATTTGATGAAAATTAAATCTAACTATTAGGACCTATTGATATTTTATCATATATTTTAATTTATACTCTATATATTTATGTTTATTAATTTTAATAGAATGTAGCAGAAAATTATGATTTTGAAATACTTAGTATGGTAAAGCAAATGTAACGGTTATTATAATAATTTTTTAAATAAAAAAAAGAAAGAAAAAGAAAAAGAAAGAGGTGGAATTTGATGGTCTACCTATAGAAATTAGGAGTACATGAATACGCGTAGGAAATAATGTGAATGTAACATGTAGATTTAATTTATAAAAAATAAAAATAAAAAATAAAATTAAAAAAAAAAGTCTCTTTTTCACGAAATTCTTTCAGTAAGGGGGGGAAAAATGTTGATTTATAAAAAATGTTGATTTATAAAAAAAAATGTTGATGGTCAATGACTTTTATCATTGGTTTTGTTAATTCTATTAATTTTATAATATGACATTAAAAATAAGAAAATATTATTGAATTGATGTTATGTAGGCATTATAAGAATTAGAATCCTTTTATTTGTTGTAAACTATTTTCATCAAAAATATTTTTTGTATTTTATGATATTTGACCACATAAAATGTTAATAATATAATTGTTAACAAATCATTTTACATTGGATAAAATCATTTACAAAATTATATTTGGTAAGTCATTTAATACAAGACACTATATCGTTTTTTACTTACTTCCAAGTATTTTTTAGCAAATATTCTCATTTTAGACTATTTTCATCATATTCTCATTTTAAAATTATATTTGGCCACGTTTGTGAACAGATTATTTTAATAACTTTTTAGTTTTTTATGAAAAGATGTGTAAAAAAATAAAGATAGTGATGTGACAACTTATAAGAACTTTTTAACCTAAATGTTTAGTTCTCACAATCCTATTGAATCAACATTACTGATGTGTATAAAATATAATATTATGATTATTTACGAAGAAAAAGTTGAATCATCTGCTAATAAATATTTGTAAACTCGATTTAATTAAATTTCCCGTAAATATAAAATTAGTTTTTAAAAATCGTGCATATTAAGAGATTGAAAACTAGTATCGACTCTAAATTCATATTAAGGTCATCTAGTCAAATTAAACCACAAGTGGCAAATTTTATCAAATGAATATACAAATAACTAAATAAGAATGAAGAATAACAAATTATGATTCCACTACTCCAATCACAAGTTATTTATTACAAAAACATCAACAATTCACATTAGCAAAAGCAAAATTAATTATGAAATGATGGTCAACTTTTCTTTTTTTTTTTTGACGGGATGGATAAAGAATGTTAGTTTTTTGAAGCATAAATGTAGAATATGTTAGAATGTACCATTTCAAACGTTATGATAGAACTATTATCTACAATTGAATTTTTTGAGGTACCATAAGAAGACATCAACACAATTCAAACCATATATGTTGCATGAATTTCTTCCAAAATGGGGGTGCCATGGCACCCCTTGGTGCAAACATATAATTCTGCCCCAACTATAGCTAAATTTTTGCAATCTTTTTGTCTCTAATTCTTTTATGGTGGGACTCACATATAATACTTCAATTTAGCATTGGTCAAATTACACCTTTTTTATCCTCATAATTTCAATTTACTCCATTTTATCCCTAAACTTTTGACTTTGTCTCAATTTGATTCAATATTAAAATTGTTACCATTTTTTTGTTTTTATGAAAAATGCGCACATAAATATGTTTTTCGGGGCAAATTTATAAGCACGATCAACTCAAAGAGTTATCCTCAACTAACTCAATAATATTTTTTTGTTAAAAATCCTAACAATATTATCAATTAGATCAAAGTGACACAAAATCTAAAATTAAAGGTAAAAATTGAATCAATTGAAAATGTAGAGACTAAAATGACACCTGAGTCAAAGTATAAGGATAATTGATATAATTTGCTCTTTAGTATTTTACGGGGGAAAAAATTAGTATTGACATAACATTATACAAATGCAACGTTTTATCATTATTTATTGCTAAAACATAACAATAGCTAATCATCAAACTATTGAAAATGCTATTTATGACACCACGTTGGACAAGTAATTATTAGAGGTGGCAAATCGGCAAGTTTGAATGGGAAATGGGTCAAAAGAGTGTTAGCCCAAAACTACCCATTTAGATAGCGGGTTGTATGCGGTCGGATTGGATACGGGTCATAGTAGACCGACCCAACCCCCCTTTCTTTTCTTTTTTTGTTTTGTTTTTTTTTATTATTTTGTTTTGTTTTATTTTTTTTAATGATTAATATTTTTTAGCATAACTTTCAATGGTTTTGCTCCAAAACACGTTAACCATCTACTGTAATACATATACCTTAATATGTCTTTCATTGATTTTTTTAAAGACATTAAAAAATAAGAAAATAAATAATACGATCTAAAGAAATACATAATATGACCATAGAATTCAATGTGCAAATACGGGCGGGTTAAAATGGGTTAAGTAATAAAATAACTTAATCCAAACCCGCCAACTTAATAAACAGTTTAGATAAAATTGAGTATGGGTTAGACAAATCAATCCAACAAACCTGTTTATTTTAATGTTCTTTTCTAGTAGATTCAAATTGAAAATAAAAAAGAAATGGTACCAAAAAACAAATGTCAAAAATAATTTTTAGAAATTACTAATGTTGCATAAAATGCAAAAAAAAAGTTTTAAATTAAAATATTAAGATGTATAATATATATATATATATAATTAATTTAAATTTTTGTAAGATGTATATTAAAATATATAAAATATATATGTAAATAGAACTAGAAGGAGTTGAAAAGAGGAATTCAAGAATCCAAGTTAGAGAGAGAGAGAGATTAAAAAGGTGTAATATATTTAATTGTTTGGTTTCAATTTTAGAATTTGCTTTTAAATTTTTTTTAGCAAATAAAAATTAATTTGGAAAAATTGAACACCAAAAAAATATATGAAAATTGAGAGGATAATTTGTGAACAAATTGGGCCGGGCGAGGACAAGTGTTCTTTGGAAGTTGGACTGCACAATGGGCCAATGAGATATTTTGTATTTCGGCTTTGGGCCGAGGTAGGTACCGGGACAGTTGGATGTGTTGCTGGAATTGGGACCTATCTACGTTCTGACCGAGATTAGTAGCAGGGCGATTGGCCAAGCTGGGTATAGCTCGGCATGATGCCGACCTGTGACAGGGTTATCACGGCTCGCCCATGTTGAGCATGAAGCCGAAGTAACTTGGTTGACCGCAGTGTCAGCCGAGGTAAAGGGTTTAGCTATCTCACTTGGTTTGCAATGATAAGAGTGTTATCCTTGGGAATGTGATTCCTAGAAGGACTCTTATAAGAAGAGTTAGAATCCTACTAGGATTGTGCCAGGTGAAATTTATAAAAGATCATGACAGGACCTATGTATAGGTATCACAATTTTTACTTTCAAATACACAGAGCTTTTGTGTCTATTTTCTATTTGCTAACTTAGGCATCGGAGAGGTTTCCGGTACACACCCGCCGGCTAGCTCATGTTTGTGTTTTCAGGTGATAAAGCGCCGACATTTGAAAGAGTGCAAACTTGATCAACAGGATTATACGAGAAAATTATTTCGTGCTCGTAAAATTGGCGCCGTCTGTGGGAAAGCACAAAGAACAAGACCTTTTGATCAAGTTTTTTTCTTTAGTTGAAATCAGTGGCGCACATTGAAGATTTGTCGCAATATGTTATTGATGGGCAAACCCCGGAGGGGGGTAGAAGACGCGAAGGTTTACCTTTTATCCTATTTATGGCAGAGTTAGACCCTCAGTGACAGAACTCCTAGAGGGACACATAGAAGAGATCGGGCTCCAGTCCTCGTCGTTCTCAAAGTCCTAAAAGGCAGAGGTGGAGGTTGGATCCTTAGGTTCTGGAGGATCGCATGAGGGAGCAAGATGAATTAATAAGAAGAATAGCAGCAGACGTAGAGACTATGAAGCGCCAGATAAAGAGCAAAGGGGTGGTGACAGAAGAGGGGCGCCAAGGTAACACGCTCTCTTACCACTCGGAAGATTGTGACCGACAAGTCACACCATCACAAGCTGAAAGTAGAAGCCTCAGAATAGGTGACACTCAATCAAGGACTTCCAGGACTCGTTACTCCAGGTCTGAGAGAACGAGGGCTAAAAGGTCCTACACGGAAGGAAGTAGTTACAGGCCCTCGCACTTGTACCAAATGACGTCTAGGCACACGGAATTGCCAAGGTTGGTGGACCTGCAGACAGTGCTTGAGGAAAGGGTTTGAATGAGAGAAGACACTCGGGCGCTCGACCCCCGCAGCGTCTCTGCACTACAACGATTGGCACCTATGACGCATAAGAGTGTCGAGGTTGGAAAGCCAGAGCCACACCTTGCCTATGAACTAGCTGACAAGGCGCTAGCAAGGTTGTAGAGTTCGCCATTCGTTCCGGCGATAGAGAACGCACCACTACCCTCAGGCTTTCACCAGTCCAAATTCACTATTTATGAGGGAAAGTCGAATCCCTACATGCACTTGAGCCACTTCCGCCAGGTTATGGCCGTATATTGGCGAAACGAGGCTCTAATGTGTATCTTGCTTCATTCCAGCCTTGGTGACCTGAGTCTAACATGGTTTGAAAGGTTGCCAGAAGGCAGTATAACCTCATGGGCGCAGTTGGCAAAGGCATTTGTGACTAGATTTAGAACGAATACCAAGACACCAGTGAAGATTGACCAGCTACTCTACATTGACATGGGCGAGAAGGAAACATTGAGGTTTTACAACAATCGATATTGGGTGACTTTCAATCAGATTAGGGATTGCCCCACAAACCTCGCCATCGCACAGTGCAAACAGGGTTTACCGGTCGGTAACAAGTTAAGGGATTCAATGACGATGATGCCACTCCTCACAATTGAGGCCCTAATGGAGAGAGTGCATCAACATATCTGGGTAGAGGAAGATAGTGCCTGAGCTAAAGCAAAATCTGGCACAACAGCGGTGCTGGATAAAAAGACTACAGTAAAAGTCAACACGGTAGAACAACTAAGTAAGAATGGACGAGGTAGACGAGCCAACAGAGAGGACCCCCAAACAAGAAAGTTGAGAGTCCGCACTGCCATTTCCACAGTATTCAACAAACATATCTACCGGATTCTTAGTAAGATACGTGATGAACCCTTCGTCCGACGGCCAGCCAAGTTGGGAGTAGCACAAAAAGGTTACGATGAGAAGTACTGTTGCACCTCCCATGATGAAAAGGGGAACCGAACTAAAAATTGTACACCATTGAGGCAACATCTGGAGAAGTTAGTAGCCACTGGTCACCTGGACCAGTATATAGAATGGGGAACACAACCAGCCCCTCAGGACCACAATAGGCCGAGTGGGATGCCGGTCGACGATCCACCCCAAGGCATAATCAACGTGATACATGGGATCGTTGAACCTCAGCGGGTATGTGAGCTCAGAAGGATAATCACAAAGGCTGAGCACTTGAGGGGGGTGCTAAGTGCACAACCTACCGTCAAAAGGGGAAAAACGGAGGCAACGAACGTCATCTCCTTCTCTGGCATGGATTTGACAAGGCTACATTGCCCTCACAATGACGCGCTAATCGTCACTTTGCGCGTCAAGAATTTCAATATCAAGCGGATTCTGATTGACCAAGGAAGCTCGTGTGAGATAATATACTACGAGACCTTCAAGTAACTAAAATTGGAGGACAAAGACTTGGCACCTATAACATTTTCCCTCGTCGGTTTCAACTCAATGCCAGAATGGCCAGTTGGCAAGATAATTATGCCAGTCAAGGCAGGAACAATGATGAAACAGGTGGAATTTTGGGTATTGAAAGTCCCTTCCACCTACAATATAATCCTGGGAAGAGCATGGTTGCAAGCCATACGTTTGGCGGCATCAACCTACCATCAGGCATTACAGTTCCCCAACGAAACCGGAGTGATTGAAGAAATCTTAGGAGACCAAATCATGTCGAAATAGTACTTCGTCACGATAAACAGCAGTCGAGCTGCAAAAAGGTTTGTACAGATGGTAGAAGAGCCAGAAAGCAATGAACGATTTGCAGATGTCGGCAAAGCAGCCGAACAGAAGGCAGTAGAAAACTTGGTAGAGGTAAGGATAGATGAAAAGAACCCAGAAAAGTTCTTTTTGCTCAGCTCGTCTATGTCCAACACTGAGAGAATAGAGGTCACAGAATTTTTAACCTCTAACATCGAAGTGTTTGCCTGGACACCGTACGACATGCTTAGCATTGACACTAATTTCATCTGCTATCAACTTAATGTCCATCCAACTACCAGACCAATTATACAACGAACTCGCCGATCGGCACTCCATCGTACAGAGATAGTGGTGGAAGAAGTGGGAAACTTACTGGAGGTAGGAGCAATCAAAGAAGTACACTATCCCAGGTGGATCTCCAACATTGTAGTCGTGCCAAAAAAGAACAGAAAATGGCGCTTGTGCATGGACTACAAAACAATTAACAAAGCATGTCCAAAGGACAGTTTTCCCCTACCACGGATAGACCAACTGGTGGACCTGACAGTAGGGCATAACCGACTTAGCTTCCTTGATGCGTATCGTGGTTACCATCAGATCGCTATGCATGAACCAGACCAGGAGGTCACGTCATTTACAACACCCAGAGGAATATATTGTTACAAGGTCATGCCCTTTGGCCTAAAGAACGCTGGGGCTACATTCCAATGAATGGTCTCAAAATGTTTGAACCATTGTTAGGCAGAACAATGGAGGCTTACATAGATGACATGGTGGTCAAAAGCAGAGATGAGAAGGACTATCTTAGGGACCTAGATGAAATGTTTCAAATTTTGAAGTCCCACTAGTTGCGTTTAAACACATCTAAGTGCGCATTCGGCGTAGGGTCAGGCAAATTCCTGGGTTTTCTAGTAACGAACCGGGGTATAGAAGTTGATCCCTCTCAGATCAAAGCCATCCAAGATATAGAGAGGCCCAACACGATCAAAGAGGTACAGCATCTCACTAGCCTAGCAGCCGCGCTCAACCGATTCATAAGTCGATCGTCAGACATGTGTCAACCATTCTTCTAGGCACTGAAGGCCAAGTTTGAGTGGGATAATGAATGCGACCGCGCCTTAGAAAACTTGAAAGACTACTACATGACCTCTCCTCCGTTGTTAGTAACCCCAGTACTAGGAGAAGAGCTCTTCTTGTACTTAGCAGTTTCACAGCATCCAGTTAGCGCAATGTTGGTCAGAGCAGAGGGAATACAACACCTGCCTGTCTTTTATGTTAGCAACACGTTGCTAGGCGCTGAAACAAGGTCCTTGCCATTGGAAAAGCTGGCCTTAGCTTTGATGATGGCTTTAAGAAAGCTGTCACACTATTTTCATACCCACACCGTGATTCTCTTAATGGCTTTCCCGTTAAAAGCCTTGTTTGAGAGAGTGAATTTTTCTGGACGGACCTTGAAATGGGCAGTGGAGTTGGGGCAGTTTGATATTAAGTTTAAACCAAGAACCACAATAAAAGCCCAAGCTTTGGAAGACTTTGTGGCCGAGTTCACACCAGGAAGTCATCATGTCTGCCTGATCGATTTGACAGGGGCAATCAAAAGAATGGGGGAAAGTGCCGCAGGAATTGTGCAACCCCCAAAGTAGGACGCCCAACTGTATAGCAAGCCATACAGGCTTGATGAGAAGAAAGAAGGAACAGACCTTGGTATTCTCAACAAGGACTCACCCAAAAGTAAAGACCTGAGACAGTTAGACAGTGAAAATCAAAACCCAACAGCAGACATCGACTTGGAAGAAAACATCAGCGACACCCCTGATCCCAAGACATCATCCCATCCCTCCACTTGTTGGAAGCTATTCGTCGGAGAGATATGGAAACTCTTCGTGGATGGACCATCCAACAGGTACGGTGTAGGACTTAGCACAGCTCTTATCTCACCAGATGGTCTAGCAATTGAATAGGCAGTCAACCTTGGCTTCCCAGCATCCAACAACGAGGTAAAGTATGAAGCATTGCTAGCAAGTTTAAAATCAATACTTCACATGAAGGCCACTGAGCTGATGGTGTATAGTGACTCCCAGCTAGTAGTCAACCAGATTTCAGGCAACTACGAGGCAAAGGATGATAAGATGGCTAAGTACCAGGAGTTGGTCAAAAAGGAAATCATGAAGTTCGAAGTAGTCCGAATAGAGCAAATTGGCCGAGAAGAAAACAGTAAAACGGATGAGCTGGCTGGTTTTGCGTCAATGGCTGATACATCTATCCCACACCCGTTGTTGATTGACTTCCTACTCAGACCAAGTATTAAAGAACCCAAAGCAGCCGAAGCATGTTGTGCAAAGCTAGGCCCTTCCTAGATGGATCTCATCATAATATTCTTAAAAGATTGCATCTTCCCTGAAGATAATATAGAAGCCAACAAAATTCGAGCGAAGTCACAGCGATTTTGGCTCTCCCCATCACTATCATTGTACAAAAGGTCCTTCACAGGGCTTTACTTGAAATGTGTCCATCCTAGCAAAGTTGAGGCATTTTTTTTTAGATACACGAAGGCGTTTGCGGAAGCTACCTAGAGGGAAGGTCGCTGGCTTATCGAGCAATTTCGGAAGGGTATTGGTGGCTATACATACAAGCAGATTCAAAGAAATATGTCAAGAAGTGCGAAAAATGCCAGAAGTTCACACACCAAATACATCAACCAGCTAAAGAGCTTCTACCATTGACTAGCCCGTGGCCCTTTGCAATGTAGGGCCTGGACATAGTAGGACCATTTCCAACTGCGCCTGGCAACATAAAGTTCTTTCTCGCAGCAACAGACTATTTCACAAAGTGGGTGGAGGCAGAAGCGCTGGCATCTATAAAAGAAAAAGACGTTAAGAAGTTCGTCTAGCAGAACATCATAAATTGATTCGGTATACCCAAGGCTCTAATATCTAACAACGGTACTCAGTTCGATGGAAAAATCTTCAGGGGCTTTTGCAAAGAATACAAGATAGAATTCTATAACTCTATACCGATGTACCCTCAAGCGAATGGCCAGGCTGAGGCTTCCAACAAAGTCGTCTTAGACGGTCTGAAGAAGAGGTTGAAAAGAGCAAAAGACAAGTGGGCTAAGGAGCTTCCTCATGTTTTATAGGTTTACCATACCACACATCAGTGGTCAACTGGAGAAATACCTTTTTCCTTGGCCTATGGCATGGAGGCAATAATCCTACTGGAAGTAGGCCTCTCTACCATTAGAAGCGAAAATTTGACCCAAACTTGAATGGTGAGACCATAACCTTCGAACTCGACTTTGCAGAAGAAAGGAGAAAAAGGGCATTAGTTCACATTGCCTCATACCAGCAAGAGTTATCCAGAAAATATAACAAAACAGTACACCCAAGGCAATTCAAGGTTGGAGATTGGTTACAGCGCAAAGTAATGGGCAACACTTTAGTACCTGGAGATGACAAGTTAGAACCTAACTAGGAAGGACCATACAAAGTGATTGGTTTAGCAGAAAAAAGGGTATACCACTTGGAAGATATGGACATCAAAGTTGTTCCCAAGCCATGGAACACGGCCAACCTCAAACTGTTTTATTTTTAGTTTTTCCTTAAAATACTTGTAATTTTTCTTTTTTCAAATAAAACAAGTAGTTTTTTTTAATAAAATTCTTTCTACTGTAAAAGTTGTTCATAGTTACTGCCAACTAGGGGCAATCAACAAGGTTGGCAGGTTTAACCAATCATTTTGTTCTCTTCTTCAGCCGAGATAAGGATCTAGGCTGAAGAAAGGTTGGCAGGTTTAACCAACATTTAGTTCTCTTTTTCAGAGGAGATAAAGATCTAGGCTGAAGGAAGTTTGGCAGGTTTGATCAAACATATTTTGTTCCTCAGCCGAGATAAGGATCTAGGCTAAAGAAGGTTGGCAGGTTTAACCAACATTTAGTTCTCTTCTTCAGCCGA